AATATCCACCGAAGGGCCTGGAAGATGGCTCGATGGACACAGCCCTTGCTATATGAGGAGCAGAGTTATGATAACCAGAACCTCCCCCCTCCAAAAAAAACCCGTCCTGGTATGGGGTCTGCTTATAATCCCAGCCCCGTGGGGTGGAAGAGAAAGAAACGAAGCATCCTTAGGATGAGCTGGCTAGGCAGGGGAGATGAAATTCGAAATCTATAGGTTCAGTGAGAGGCCCCGCCTCAGTCTATAAAGTGGAGTGTGATTAAGGAAGATACACAATGTCTACTTGGGAAAATACACATGCAATCATACACTTGAACACACATATATGCTTGCACACCACACTCATACATGCATAAAAAGTCCACTATACTTTCGTGCACTAGCAATGAGAAATTCCAAAATGAAATGAAGAATTTGATTTGAGGTAGTATTAAAAAGAACTCTTGATAATAAAACAGTTCAAAACTTAAACCTGAAAGCCCACAGCACTTTGTTAAAAGAAATTAAGACCTAAATGACCAGAAAGACCCTCCATTTTCATAGGTGGAAGAATTAATATTATTGACACTGCAATATCTCCAAATTGGCAATCAGATTAAATAAAACCATTGATTACACGCCAGCAAGATTTTCTTTCTGTGGAAATTGATAGGCTAATCATAAAATTCATAAGGAAACTTACCCCATTTCGTTATGGTGTATAATTTTTGAATATGCTGTTTAGTTTGCTATCTGTCATTAAGGATTTTATTTTTTGAGATAGTGTCTTGCTATATAGCTCAAGTTGGTATTGAACTCATGATCTTCCTGCCCCCCACCTCCTAAGTGCTCGTGTTTCAGGCATGTACCACCATACACGCTTTTTGTTTCCAAAAAGGATTTTTCTGTTAATATTCTGAAAGGTTTCTTTCTTTTTATTGTCTTTGGCTTTGGTATCAAGGAAACGCTGACTTAAAAGAATAAGTTTTCAAAAAAGTTTGAAAGTGTACACTGGTAATGACAAAACCTTAAAAAGCTATAGTAACTGAGAGAATGTGGCACTGAGGTAAAAACAATCAGGTCAATTAACAGTCTAGACTAAAATTTTAAATTCAGGGCTAATTGATTTCTGACAATGTTGCCAAGATTGTTCAATATAGAAAGGATGTTCTTTGCAATAAATAGTGGGAGACAGCTGTATATTCATCCACAAAAATGAATTTGAACACTTTATACAAAGATGAACTCAAAATAGATCATACACATAAACATAGGACTGTAACTCCCTCACTGTCTGAAAGAAAATAGGAGTAAAATTTCATGATCATAACAATGACTTCACAAGCAACAAAAGTAAGAATAGGAAAGTCAAACTTGATCAAATATCCAGAAAATTTCTGCTTTATATGACAGCAACCAAAAGGAAAAAGATAGTTCATAGAATGAAAATATTTGCTAATCATTTATCTGCAATTTGTATGAAGGATATGTAAGAAGCTTGCATCTATCAAATAAAAAGATAATCCAATCATAAAATGGCCTAGTATTTGGGGAGACAAATCTCCAAACAAGATACACATGAGGCTAAGGCACAGGAAAAGATAGTTAGCGCCATTAATCATTCATGAGATACAAATCTAAACCATAACGAGATACTATTTCATACTCATTAGTGTGTCTGATATCAGAATGATGGATAATAATGACATTGGCAAAGAATGTGAAAAAAATAAGAACCCTCGTGTTTTGATGACGGGAAGGTAGAGGGATTCAGCCATTTAGAAAATAGCTTTAACAATCTCTCAATATGTTAAACACAAGGTTGCCACACAATCCAGCAATTATGTGGAGATGTATGAGCCCAGGAGAACCGAGAACAGGTTTACAGAAAGCAGTGTGTACAAATGTTCACGGTTACACTTTTCCTATTAACACACAAAACAATCCCAGCGCCCATCAGCTAATGAGTGGACAAACAAAACGTAGCATATCTAGACAGTGAGCTTCCCTGTGGTGAGAAATGAATTAGTGATATCTACTACAATGTATGTTTGTGGGTGACCCTCACAAATATCATCTTTCATTACAGGTGTCAGTCACTAAAGAACAGATATTGTGTGACCCTATCCATGTGAAATGTCTAGTATAAGCAAAACTGTGGAGACAGAAAATAGATTAGCGGATGCCTGGGACTAAGGCCAAGTGTGTGAGAGAAATGGTTTGGCTGATAATGGCCAAGAATTTTTTTTTTTTGAGGTGGCAATATTTGGTAAAGATGGACTGAAGTAATGGGTGCACATCTCTGTGAACACACTGCAAACCATTTAATTCTGCATGCCAAATCAGTGAGTTTTTTGAAAGTGAATTGTATCTCAATTAACTCCTCAGCAAAAAGATTAAGGGTGCTGCTCAGTGGTTGAGCAGTCACCCAGCCCCAGGCCCCAAGTTCCATTTCCAGAATTGCAAAAAAAAGAGAAATTATCAATTTGCTCTTAGAACTTTCACCAAGAAAAAGGAAATATGTTTATGTTTATTCTATATTTTTTTTGCAAATATTCTTTGAAGTTTTATTTTTATCAACCCCAATCTTGAGATCATCTATCTGCTTGTCAGCCAGACAAGTTATAAACAAGATGCTGCATTTTCGTACGAAGGAGCAAGGAGCAATACTCCACAGTGAAAGGGAAGGGTCTCTAGCGAACACTGCGCTATGAAAACCCAAGTCAGGGCAACCTGGTTTGCTTTCATTTGTTTGGGAAACAAAGCAACAGAGCCAGGAAGCAGATAAGCCAGGCTGAGACCCCATCCGAGGCAGCAGAGGAGAGAAACTGTTGGGAGGACTGGCTGATCACCGGCTGAGTATTAGACTCCTTTTCAGAGCTGCTACTGGGTGAACAGGCATGTAAGGCTTTTCTTTCTTTTCCTTTTGTTACATATATTTGTGGAATTTGCTAAATGGCTGTTTAGTATAATAATGAAAAGGCAAAGATGGGCTTATCTGCTTGATTCTGGCAGCATAAATACGGGATACATATCTTAGAAACTATTGAAAAATTACTTCTGAAATGAGTTAGAAGAAGGCTGAAGGGATGGTAGCGGGGATAAAACTCTGAATCTTTTCATATACTTTTGGGTTTTGAGTTATACTGATGTTTAATGTTTAAACAGTTATTTGAAGACTTATGAACACATAATTGTTATGGCACGTTAGTGGGTTCAGTACTGCAGGCAAACCATTCCATCTGCTATTTTAAATATTT